CTGGTGCTTTCTTTATTGTTGTCCTGTCTGATATTGATATCATAAATCGGTCTGATATCAGCCAAAATACAAGCATGAAATTAAAACGACCAACATCTAAAATCTCTGATATGAGCATGTGGATAGAAGCACTCTGCTCCATTTTTGGAGTGAGCCAAGGACCAACTCCAAATTATGTAATGAGCTCAGCAGTTCCTCAGTTCCATCAGGTGTTTGCTAATTGCTTCTGGCTAGTCTGAAGGAGCTGAGTGGGGGAGGTTCTGTGAGGCGGAACCTCAGAAGCCTGGAGCTTCAAAGTTTTTGTCCAAGCATTTTGAATGGCTCAATGGTTGCCATGGAGATTAGAGGGTTTTCCAAACATGCAAGAAAGAATCAAAGCAACGCTTCAGTTATGTTTTTGACGAGGGAAAAACATTATAACATGATCTAAAGGTCAAAGCAGTCAATTAATTTAAACACTGCCCCATTTTCCTTAATTATTAAAGAAATATATTACCAAGAAGCTTTGTTACAAAAAGTAACCAACCAAACACTATTGTTCTTACTTTGAGTTCTGAGTTGAGTTCCCTCAAACACATTTGTAATTTTTCTTTTATTTTTACATGATGCATTACAACTGAAAAAAATCCTTCAAAATTCCTGACGCTTTAATTTTTTCCCTTTTTGTGTCATTGAAGGTCCTAAAGAAATGAAAACATATTTATTTTAAAGCTTCGATGTATTTACAGTATTAAAGCTTTGCATGAAGAGTGATAAAGAACACACTGTTTTTAAATCTTTCAGGAAGAAATTTTCATTGTCTAATAGAAATTTCTTCAAAAGATTTGAAATGTACGGCTTTTCATTTTTTATCAACCACAATTTATGTCTTAATTTTAATTTTATAGAAAAAAGGAACCCAAAGTGCAGCAACTCTTACTCAAATACACCTAAGAAAGAAAGAAAGACATATCCCTTGTTCTTATGGATCATGCTTATTTTCCTAGATGAAACAACAAACAAACAAAAAAATATTTAACATCAAAAATGTGGTAATTGTTATTAAAAGGGCAATACACTAGACACTAGTTAAAAGTTGGGAATCTATAAAAATGTACACATTTCTTCATAACACATATGTGTCTATATTATTCTTTCATTTAAAACTCTCCATGTTTACTGAGCACATTATATTCAGAATTTATAACATTTAGTTTCTACATTTTGAGCTTGAGGATTTTGGCCAACATGGCTGACCCTTTGGACACTGCTGCAAAACATGAACAAGCTTGAGGGTCAAGCTGGAACTGATCAGAGTCTGTAAAGAATTGCTCCAAAAAGGTGCAATTCTTCCTGTCCCTGAAGTGCACACACTTCTCAGATTTTGATTTGGTTTCAACGCAGACGTAACACACTACTTCTCCTGATTTGGCCTCCTGTTGCAGTGAGGTTCTAGACCACGTCAGTAACCAGCTAGAGAATAGTTTAAGTTTATATATGTAGAAGAATTGCAAGGCTCCTCAAATTATTTACAGTTTAAAAGGTTCCCAAGAACATCCTGCCCTCTAGTGGTCTAACATGCTCAAAAGAAGCAAAACCGAGCCTTTTAAAAATTAAATTAAAGAGCACTTTTCATAAAATCGGGCAGCTAACAGTTTTCCATAAGATAAAAACTGGAGTGAATGACGAACATCACGGTAGGTTTCTGTCTCCATAGAAGCAGGGAGCTTCTGGACGGTGGACAGAAAAATATGCACAAAATAATCTAATCAACAAATCCAGAAAAATCAAAAATAGTTCAATAAATACAAATTAAATAAATACAAAAGAACACACAGCAATTATTAAAATAAAACATGCCAGCAACACCAAAAGCCCACATCGGCACATAAGCTTCTCTGAAGCTTTTTGATACTTGTTGTACATTCTGTCTTCCTGTCCCTCCACAGGGTCCAGCTGAATGTGTCTCCTCAGGTCTGGCATCCTCTTATGGAACACCTGATGGGTCTTGCAGTAGGAGCTGAGACACACCAGGCAGGACATCTGGGCCTTCTTGGTGCAGACGCTACACACAACCCGTTCTGCATCAGGATGTGGTTCCAAGCTGCAGCTGACAGTCTGCTGAGCCGGCAGCTCCAGCTGATCACTTAGTTCAGACATTTCTATGTTGACCTGAAGTTCTGGTCTGCTGGTGAAACACCTGTTACACAGGGGACACCGCCATCTGTCAGCGGTGTCCAAGTGTTTGGTGATGCAGGTCCAGCAGAAGTGGTGTTGACATGGCAGAGCCACCGGCTGGGTGAACACATCCAGGCAGATGCAGCAGAGTGGCTGATCCTCGGAGAGCCCAGCAGCTGTCATGTCTGACAACAGAACCAGTGACAAGTTTCAGCAAACACAAGGATTTAAGAAGGTCCTAAAGAAATGAAAACATATTTATTTTAAAGTACAGGTGAACCCTGCAGCCTTGTGGCATTTACAATGCTTTGCAGATGCATGCACTTTTCTTTTATTTGTCATGATTATATGTTTCAAATAAAAAAAATGTTTACTAATGCTCTTAAAAATCACAAAGAGGATGTCGCTGCAGCAAACACAAATAGTGGTGGATGACTGCACTTTGTGTCATTGTTCAAGATTCTGTTCCAATATTTCCAGGAAGTTAGAATCGATGTGTCCCATTGTATTTGCAACAAGCTTCTTATTTCTGCTGTATCTGCGTATTTACTGTATAATAAAGATGGAAGCCCACAGGAACTAAAAGTCAAAGCCTTAATGATGCAAAAGCTTCCAGCTTTCAGAAATCTAAACAAAGGCGGCAGTGACTCAACGTCTGTGACTCTCTGATAGCGCTGCTGTTTCACTTTACATACTTACTGCGTTTCAGTTCCCTTTGGCCTCTTTCTAAACACAAATAGCTGCACTCACCTACCGATGGCTCACAAAGGACTGGCTGGATGTGAGAACAAAACATAGGATTTTGGATGATGTTGATTTTGGATGATGTTGTCTGCAGACTCAGTCAGCTGAAGCTCTGATGATTTTGCTTTCATTTCCTGGTTGACATGTGATTTACAATAAACTCCTGCCTGAATTTGCTCTGTGTGATCTGCAGGATCAGCTGATGAAATCTCCTCTTTGTTTTTAACTGACTTTAACCAGTGAAAAGCCTCATTAAGTGAGAACTGAACCATTTATGTACATTAAACAGTTGTACATTAATGTATTACCAGGTGGTGCTGAAGGTCATAGAATACATTCCATCCTGACCAGGTTGAGGATGTGGTAACTTTTTTGAGAGCTCACAATAGATTGGCTGACAGCCAGAAAAGTTGAAAAGTTAAAGAAATTCACTGAAGATCAAACAATGTCTATATAAGCATGGGAACAATTTTACAGCCACATTCTCAAAACTCCTTCAGATTAACAGCAGAAGCAGGACAGACATCCTCAAAGACCAAAACTGGTTTTAAAATAGATTACAAAGTACCAAACATTTTGCAAAAGTTTGAGTCCTCATTTTAATTCTGCTGATTAGAATAGTGTTAAACATGCAGCTGGTATTGGGATAGAAATTGTTGATGGCTACAGAGAGCGTGTTGAGGTCCAACTTCCTAAAGGAACATTTAAACAAACATTAGTGCAGATGTGAATAATATTATTGTGTGAAAATTCACATTCAAACATATACACAAGAAAACAAACAACTCAAATAAATATTAAAATGTCCAGATGAGTGAATGAAAACCAGTCAACAAGTGTTGAATGTAAAGTGAAACCGCAGGGCTATCAGAGAGTCACAGACACCGGGTCATATCAGTATCTGAAAGGAAGGCGAAACCAGATGGCGCTTCTTGCTGTCATTCAACAAATCAAGCAATATATGTTTGTACGTATATTTTTTATGTATATAGGTTTTTTTATGCCAGTTTGCAGCAGAGCTCAACAACACTGTGTAAGCCCCCAAATGCTTTAAGCATATATTTTCTGCTTAGAGCTGATGAAAATGTCACATTTACGATTAGAAAATTACATCAGACCAATAAAAAAAATGGGTGTGAGATTTAGACACTTTCAACAGTCGGCAAGGATAAAAATGGAGCCAAAACGGCTGGAGATCCGATTTTAACCAGAACTATCAGCACAGGATGACCTCAGTGCTACAACATTTCAGTCCGAGGTGAAGACACATCAGCTCATCATTTTTATCATGACATTGACTCAGTTTAGTCTCCAGAATAACAAAAGAAACAAAACAAAAAGTAAGAAAATGTGTGTTCTTTTTGTTGTTACAAACAGTGAAGGAAAATAACTGCTTATTTCTCTTTCAATGTTGCCTCATCTGTCAGGAGAATGCATTCAGAGTTAAGTATGTGGGTTGAACCCAGAAATGATCTGGCAGTACCATCAGAACCAGTCATCCCTAAAATACTCATGGTTTTTAATTTGAGCTCTAAGTAAATTTGGGGGCTTACACACAACATCGTTGAACTCAGCTGTAAACTGGCATGAAAAAAAACAACAAACAATGCTTGTATTTCTATTTACAAGACAGTTTTGCCAGATGGCATACAGCTTACCCAGGAAGACAGGAAATAAAAGATATATTCATTTTAATCACTGCGCACAGGATTGTGTATTTCAAGTGGTTTTTCCATTAATTATAAATATTCTGTTTTCAGTTAAAGGAAGCTCAAAATTCAGTCTCAGAAAATGTTAAGAATAAATAATACCAATAAGAAATATCTTTTACGCAGGCATCTCTTGGCAACCCCACACAGCAGTATCATAAATAATATTATTGTATATATTAAAATACATACAAAATGCAGAAGGTATTTTAAAATAAATTTCAATTATCTCAGCTAAATCTATATTTATATATCTGTAAATGATTCTTAATAAGCTTAAATAATACTGAGAATTTATGAAAAACATACATACACCACAGAAAATATGAATAATTTTTCTTCTCATAACTTCAGTGAAAACAAATCACATAAAATTTAAATACCAGAATCTTGTTTCTTTAACAACTTTATTTATTTAAACTCTGTTGGTATATACTGACTAATTCCTTTCAATACATTCTAGAATTGATAAGACTGTGTAGAAAATAACTAATTTAAAGGCATATATGCATACAATATGAGTTCCTAAATGAAATCAAACAGATGTAAATGCATAAAACTTAACTCTGCCATGAATCGTTTCTGTGAATTTATTTAGTGGTTAATTCCTAACACATCAAACTTATCACCTGAAAAGCTCCTTATACTTTATGGAACAATAATTCAGATTGTTTTCAAGTATGACCTTGATTCCACATGTTACGTTCACATTTTGACATCGGACAAACTTATAAGACAAGGACAAAATGACAGGAGGAGTTAAAGAAGCCCCTTTAGTTATGACACAAAGGCAGCCTTTCAGTGGGAGCAGACTGAAAGGCTGCCTTTTTGAAATGAGTGGATCAGTCCCTGCAGCGTTGGGCCTTAGCTGTCAATGCCAGGCCGAGTCAAAGTGAATCTTCCAGACGGGTCAGGTATGAACCACCTTTCCCACAGATCTGAGTGGACGGCTGGGTCATTCCATGGTTTGAATGGGCCGTTCCAGTGCAGCAGTTGTGCCCCCTGCAGGAAGCTCTCTGCATAGCGTGCATCAGGGCTCCAGCCTGAAGACAAAACAAATCCTTTAGTCTGATGTGGCGATACCATGTGTAAAATTATTCTTAATCACTAAAATGCTCCCTTCCATGAAACTACATATTCTTACTTGCTGCTCACCAGCTCTGGTCTGGCATTGATGCATTATAAATAGCAATATTATTTCTGATCTTGATTTTCTCTCTTCTCTTGGCGTGACCATGTTTGAAAGGTTAGGTAGAATCTTACCCAGGTGTCTGACATGCCAAAGAGGATCCAGCACTGTGTATTTGTCATAAAACACAATAAGCATTGGTGGAGTGGCCACACCTCCTGCCATAGCACTGCTGTAAATGTTCTGCCTGTTGGACAGAGGAATTTGTTACTGATTAGGCACATCCAAACAGAAGCACTGAAGTAGATGCTGCATCTCACCAGCTGTACCAACTCTTTATAGAAGTTTCCATCATTGTGTTAAAAAACCTCAACCATTCATCAGTTCACTCCCTCTCTACGTGTTCACTGCTCCAAGTGGATCAGTTATGCTAACAGAAGAAAAGGACTTGAACGATTCTGTAATGTTCAACAGAGCTAAATTTATGTTTTTTATCTATAAATGATCCTTAATAAGCCCAAATGATACAGTGAACTAAAGAAAAACACATATACACCATATGAAATGTGAATATTCTACATGTCTTAAAGTAAATAACAAACCATCATTGCCTTTTTGAGACACCTGAAATTATATCATATTAATTTTTTATCTCGAGATCAACCAGGCTGACACAGAATAATTCTGCGCATCAGTATCACACTTATGAGATGCTATAAGTATTCCACATATATGAACTATTACAGTGTTTACCCAAATGTCACAGCAATATCCAAATAATTACATTATTTAATCTCTTGCTGTGCTATGCAGACACTCTCTCTGCACTGATGAAGGTTCATTCAACTCTATATGCCTCCTGCTCCAAGTGGTTTCAACAACAGAGGAGGCCAACCCAGTTTCTGATGAATTTGTTGGCACTCACAACACCATCCTTGTGGTTAGCAACCCCACCCTGCACCTCCCTGCCCAGTTAGTATGGACCAGTGATGATCCTCTGTTTGGGTTCTGGTTATCTCAGCTGCACCAAAGACTTCAATGGAACAAAAAGGAGATGAGCAGAATGTCTCCACTAATAAGAACTCACTGGATTTTTTTATTAACTTTCTTACGACATTGTTGTACGAACAATGTTTCCCATTCACCTGAAATTCTCCTCCATCCATCTCTCCAGCTGTTTGGTGATCTTCTGCTTCTTCCACTCTTTGATTTCTGCGACAAACACTCCGGGGTTAAAGGAGCAGTGGTTGGGGTTGATGGCCAAGTCTTTCACTTCTTGCTTTCTGTAGTCCAGGAATCCCATGTAGGTGGTCTGAGGAACAAGGTCAGAAAACAACAGACTTTCGTTACCAACATAAACTTCATCATCTGTCTTACACTCTACAATATTCTGGTAAAAATGTTGTTAAACTATCCAAATATAATATTGGATAGTTTATGTAAATGTGTATTCACATAATCAATCCAGTGTAATGTGGTTTTCATTAAAAACCATAGAGATGCACCTGCATGCCAATGCTTCGAACCATCTCGTGTGTGGAGGGTAAGTCACAGTCAGAGGCAAAAGCAGCAGCATGTCCTGCTTTCAGCTTTATATTGTAAAGGTCCTTAATGTCACCTGAAAATAAGAAGCATTTAATCAACCATAGAGTCGTACATCGCTGATCATATAACATAAGAGCAGTGCTTTATTTATAGGTTATTATTGTTGCTGGTTCAATAAAGAACTTTCACAAATACTGACTCTCCAATGAAAGTGCAGTAAGCACACAGCAAAACACTGACAACTATTTCACAACTATTTTCAAAAATTTGTTTTGTACATTTTCAAAAGTTAGTTATATATATACACATAATATATAGTTTCCTCATATATATTATAGATACTTATAATATAATAAGTGTCTGTCTGTCGAAAGCTTTGTTTAAATTTAATTAGTGCAGCACTTTGTTCTAAAAAAATGTAAATGACTTCACAGAAGCTTATTTGAAATAGATAGTCCAGGATGTTGTAAAAGATTTTAAGAATTCATAAAAGTATGAGAAAGTAAAAACAAAACCAAACATCATCTATCTTTCAATCTGTCCGTCCATCCGTCCACTCATGTATGTATTTATCTGTCTGTCTTCTATCTGACTGTCTGTGTAGTTAATTATACAATATTTTCTATTGATACTAAAACAGTGAAATGGATCAGCAGTGAGACAGCACCTTCTAAACTCTACCCAGATTCTGTTTTTAAACACATACCCTGCACAATGACATCGTCATCCACATATATGACTCTCCTGTGGCTGATCCCTAGTAGAGGTAGGTAAAATCTGACAAAATTAAGCTGTAAAACACAGTTGAAGTTATTCCATGTGTCTGAAACAGACGCTTTGCTTACTGTAGTTTAGCATATGTGCGAACAACATAATTTGGGAGTAAAAATTGAGAACTCACTGGATGAAGAAGATCAGGACGAGAAGAATCTGGCTTCACCTTTCCTCTTAGAACCATAGGGTTAAATTCTAAAATCTTATACTGGATGCGTTTCAGCTTGGTCTTCTCTATATACCTCCTTGAGAGAAACAAACAGTGATACCTGGATGTGTGAGATGTGTGTGAGAGAAGCCTTTATTCTTGATTTATAGCTGAAGACAGTGACAAACCTTGCTATTTTGACTGCATCACGCAAAGTAACAATGTAGAAGAAAACACTGGAATCAGTGTTACTAATGATGCTGTTGATGGTTGCCATGGTTGCCCCAGTACGCTCCTCGGAGGCACAGATGATAACAGGAACAACATCATCTGTTTCAGCCTCTTCAGCAGGGAGGTCAGCTGTTAAATCGTGGCTCTGCCTGTATGCTGAGAGGCACCAAGAATGGAAAGTGGAGATGAGTTAGATTTGGTTGGGATACCCTGAGTGGAATTGTGCAAAATCAACTTTTTTTTTAGCTTTACATCATGTAACAATGTCATTCCCTCATCAAAAACATACCTGGAGTGTTGCCTTGATTTTTTATTTTTTTTATGCATGTTTGAGAAATCCTTTAATCTTTAACCTAGCCCCGCCTTTGAGGGTAGAAGAAGTGGAGCTGGGCATCTGCTGAGCTTATTATACAAAGTACTTCTCAGTGCAACGCTGGTAAAAATGTTAAAGGGTTAATGGGTGAGCCATGTGATGACTTCATGAAGGAGGAGCTTCAGAAAGAACAGGAGTTTCTTAAAGAGGCGGAGGCTCAATTTCATGGCAAATTTCTTTTAAGTAATATTTATAACAACTGGAGGTAACATAGTTGCTTGATTGTGCTATAAAGTGGCACTCTATGCCTGGAAAACACATAATAATGCCTCTTTAATGCTCAGAGCAGAAAATCAGACATCTCGACTGCCATACCTTTTTTTTGTTGAGTGGAGAGTTTCAGTGAACTATGGAGAAGCAAACATGCCAGCAGCAACAGCAGCACAATAAGAACCTGGTTGACTGGCACATGGAAAGAGTTGAGAGTCAACATTTACTTGGAAGAACAACTAAAGTTTCATTTGTAACAAGAAGTAAATTAATCAAAGACAAACAATTCAGGAACCTGAAAAAAAAAACAACAGAAGACAACGTAAAATGCAAAGATAAAAAAAAAGTACTATACCTTTCATTTCATTGTAGACTGAGTCGTCATCCTATAATGTTTTATCACAATTATTTGATTTAATTGGAACTTCAGTTCCAGTTCAGTTGCCCTTATATTTAAATAAACTACAGAAAAGACTGACATACCTGAACTGCTGTGCTTACAGTGACATTCACCATCAAATCAACTTGTTTTGCTGAAAAACCTAAACAGGTGTATGGTCCTATCTTTAGGATTCAGTGCAAATATTGGCAGTTTGTTTATTTTGGCATTATTTTGCCTCAGACCATCTCAATTCTGGCCTCTTCAATTGAACGATTCTTTCAAAATGCTTTCAGAACACAGAACGCCTCTGGCACAATCTCTTGAAAGAAATGGGATCCCAAATTATTTGAAATAAACTCTGTGCTCCTCTTTTTAACATCTGGTTTATAGGAGTCGATGTGGTTTGTCTTTATGCATTGCTTCCACAATCGACTATCACTAACAAAAAGAAGTGAAATGCTTCGGAAGAGAATTTATTTATCTCCAAATAAATAAATAATTCATTCTGACTTTTTTTTTCTCAGAGTTCTGAGAATGAAGTCAGAATGTTGAGCAAAAAGTCTGAATTCTTTTATTTTTCTTTCAGTGGCCCTAGTCTTTTTCCATAAAATGCAGAGAGGTAAGTACCCCTTTAAATGCCAAACAATGAGCTTTTGAAGTTCTGCTCTGTTTCACCTGCCAAAGGTAGGAGGATTTCTTTTTGTCAGCATAGAAAGTTGGCAGGACTTCACTACTGCTGAGCTGAAGGCATGCGATTCATGCTGCCTCACAGTTTGCTAACAAGCACCACACATGACGCACTTAGTCGAAACAAATCTTAGAAAAGACATGGGGAGAATCAGGATGGTGCTGATCATGATTACTTTTTTGGAGAAGCTTCCAGACGTTTGCGCAATCCAATTGGCTGTTCTCTATGTGACTAAACTCATAAAAACGTAACTCCATACAGACTTGTATCATCTGCTAAGTTAATCACAGCTCACACAGTTCCTCCTCTCTTACCCTGGAGGAAAACTTAAGTCTGTCACTGGCAACAGCTGGTTCTGATAAACTTCCACTTTAAAAACTATGTGCACATGCATGGTAAACTAGACATTGTCATTTGTAATTGTTTCCTCTTCAGCATTGATTGGATCTCACTTAGCACTTACGTTTTTTTAGGACAGGCATATTTCATAATTCTTCCAAGTAGTATCTGCAAAACACACGAAATAAAAGAGAAAGAACGACTGTCAGTTCTTCTGACACATTGTCATTTTGGACTTTATTGGGATGGATTGCATATCACTGGAAGTAAAGCTCTCCAAAAACAAATACTGCATGAAAAAAAATCTGAAAAAGGAACAATGGATAGGATATTGAAGTTCAGGACAGCACATCCAGGCAGTCCGAGATGAGCCCAGAACGACCTCTCACTGTTAAAGTACATATTCATGACTCAACAATATGAAAGATTCTGGATAAGAAATGGGATTCATGTGAGAGTTTAAAGTACAACATCATTGCAAAGCAAAAAGAACAATCTCACATGTGTGGAGCTAACACAGCATTTTACAAAAAAAACAGCAGATTCACAGTCACACACGGAAGAGGTGGTGTGATGGTCAGGGGTGGCTTTGCTGCTTCAAGACATTTGGTCATAATTGATAGAACTATAAATCCCACTCAGTACCACTGAATTCTGGAGAGAAGAGGGGACCAGAATTTCTCCATGGCGATGTTAAAAACTTACTAGTTATGTCTTGGCAGTTAGCTATCACATGTATTTATTAAGTATAGTAATCAAATGCTTTTTCTCATATAGTGCCAGATTGACTTGCATACTTTTTCCCCTTATATTTCTTTATGAAATAAAACAATTAATTGAAAACTGTTTTTTGTATTTATTAAGGCAATTTTTCTGACATTAAATGTGTTTTATATGTTACAGAAGAATTGTGTCTCATGTTTTGGGGAGCAACACTCTCTGACTTGAACAAATTGCTCCTGTGAGTTGAACTGCAGGAAATTTATGGTCGTCCAAAGCCAAGAGAAACTGGCCAGCACATGTGGCTGATTTTGTTTTCCATGGCTCCCTTCCTTCCTGATGCCAGGCTTAAAGAAAAAACTCTGTTTGCATTCTAGCTCTCTAAAGTCAAACTTATTGAACTGGTGGACTAAACAAACACAGATTTCTATGAATTTAAAGCCTTTCTTCCCCCACTAGCTGATGTTGCTGAATGAAGGGTTGGAATCCTTCACAGGAGCTCTGACAATAAAGTGAGTTTATGAAACAACCAAAGGTGAACATACAGGCCGGTTTCTTCCTCCTCTGTCTGCTTTAACTTTTGAGCGTTCTCATGACTCAGCCTGATGTCAGCTGAAATTAAACATGTCCGTTTCACACAGCACATTTGTTTCAGTTATGTTTGTCACTGTTCAGAGAACCTCCACACATCTGGAAGCATTTAGCTGCAGACACACTTTTCATTGTTTCTGTTCTAGATTTGAACAATTAGAAGTCCACTCTGGACACTATGTGTGACAGCGCACTCATCTTTCATCCACATCATTCCCCCACCCATATTCTTCTTTTTCTTTTTCTTTTTTTTTTTTACCAGAAATACTTGTTGGGTCATAGACTTGCTGCAGCGACAGGAAAACACAGACTGGATAAATCCAAATAAAAACAGGATGTTCTTTACTTTCGAGCAAGTCATGCTGCTGGTATTCTACCAGACTGAACTCATCCATTGTGATGAGTTCAAATCTTTCTGGATAACGTTACACATCATAGACTCATGCACAAGTATTCTTATGTTCTTAAACCTTTCTCCTTTTTCATCCTATTACAATCACAAGCATATTTCATTTGGATTTTATGTGGTGTTGTGGATCAGCAGAAGCTATAATTGACATTTTTGTCCTATTTGCAAAATGTTATGTGTGGAAAACCTTTAATTTAAATTCAGTTCAGCGTATGTAAATAGTGCCAATTTACAATAACAACTAAAAAGTCAATTCAATTGAATCATAAAGATTTCAAGTCAAATATATTTATTCCAATTGATCCTGTTATCAAAGAATGGAGTGAAGTTCTGTTTACTGTTCCAATTGGTTAAAAAGGAAATCCAGAAGATTACATCCAATCAGTGATTGGCAGCATTTGGTCCTCCCATATAACAGGAGGAAATCTCCAACATAACCAGAACCTGGCTCAGTGTGAGCAGCAATCTGCCACAGCAGGACCAGAGGTTCTGACAGTACAGTTAGAAAAAGTAATCATGCCATAGGGAAGCATGTTCATTTGTCAAAATCAAGACTTAAATCTCAGTGAGAATTAACTTAACTTGCTGTTAATGGACACACTTTATTCAATCTATTCGAGCTTTTTTGCACGGAAGAACGGCCAAAAGTTTCAGTCTCTGAATGTGCAAAGGTGGTGCAGTGAAAGACAGTTCCACAAAGAACTGACTCAAAGGCATGAATACAAATGCACACAGTATTTTGCACATCTTAACATAAAAAAAAAAAAAAAAACATTATAATTTTCCTTTCCACTTTATAATTCTGCACTGTTTTGTGTTCTTGTATGTGAAAGTTTGTGGATGTAACTTAAAATGTGAATAAGTATAGGAAACATGAATACTTTTGCACAAGGCATTGTGTTAGTCATTGTGTGTTAGACAAATCGTAAGCATTTTAAATAATCTTTCTAAAATGTTCTTCACTCACCAGTAAAGAGATGTTGACAGTCTCATCCCTGGATTTCACAGTTCATGTTGTAAAACAAATCAAGAAGAAATGTATTCCTTTATTCCTTCTTTTAAACTTCTCTATTATTCATCTTCCTCTTCTCACCGTCTAACCCGTCTTGTTCTCCAGCGCCTTTATCTAATCGCTCTCTGCTCCAGAGAAGGCTGGATCATGGCTTTCTGCTTCCTGTTGCCAGCTGAGTTCCATCTCAGCCACATTGATGGAGAAGGAATAAAACCCGCAAACAAAGCTGTGCTTTCTAAATAGGATATTTAAATGAGATTTTTCTTATATTCTTGAAATAAATAACTAATTAAAAAACGTTTTTTATATCAGTGAGCGGAGAATCACACATTACACATTAAAACTACATTTCCCATAACCCTTGGTGTTTCGTTCTGGTTTAAAGGACAGTAAATGCGGAGCCCGATTCTCGCGTCAGACAGTTTTGTTTGTACATTTGACTCCAAATGCTGTTTTATTTGTCAACTGTTGATGAGCTGTTTAATTTGTTACATATTTGCAATAAAGTTGTAAAGTTTGCATTAAAGAGCTAGTTGGAAAAGCTATTGCAAAGAAACAGCTTTGATGTTCTGCAACCATATTCTGAAATAAGTATTATGTGCTGTAACGTAAGTTTTCACTGATTCACATTGGGACGCTTAGTTCGACTGAAGTTAGAGTTGTGCGAAAATTTGGATAATATAAACATCTCTGGATAGAGACAATCTCCGTAAATACCTATACTTGGCCATCTAATTTTACAGCCTCTGAGAAAAGCCCCTGTAAGAGAATACTTCTCCCAACATGTCTGTATCCCCGGAGTTTAGTCCATTTTGTCTTCCAACCAGCATGGGTGAAGGTGATTTAAAACTGCTTGTGAAGCTAACTCAGGAGGGACGGTTGCTCTGTCTGCAGGAACACATCGCATCATGGAGCTCTGAACCGACCGCTTTTATCAGCGGCAAACACTTTGGACGCTCGGCAGATACTCTGCTGCACTACGCTGCGAGACACGGACACTTGGACGTTATGACGTTCCTAATACAGCAGCTTGGCGCAGACGTGGAAGTGTGCAATAACGACTACAAGAGACCGCTGCATGAGGCTGCCTCCATGGGCCATGAGGAGTGTGTCGACTTCTTGCTCCAGGAAGGAGCTAACGTGGACAGCCTAAAGAGGGCAGACTGGTAAGAGGCAAATGAAAATCGTTATAAAACCCATTCATGACGTAGGACTCCGATAGTCGGATTAAAAGCTTAATGGTGAAGGAGGTTTCGCAGTTCCCTTCGATAGCTCAGTTGGTAGAGCGGAGGACTGTAGAGGCAATACGCTGAAATCCTTAGGTCGCTGGTTCGAATCCGGCTCGAAGGATCGACTTTTTGTTTAATTTTACTATCTGAATTTATAATGTACTTGTTCAGCTTTTATTTTAGCACAAATATATCTGCATTTTATAACAAATAAAGCGAATAGTGACTCATATTTTACACTTTACACCTTTATTAAAAACCGTGTTTTATTATGTTCATTCATTCTCATCATTTTGAATTGTAAAAATTTAAAACTTTCAAATTGCCTCGTAATGTACAGATGGTACAAACCGAATTTATGTTAAAACCGCTTGCCATAAGGTTACAAATATTACAACATTACATCATTAAACAATTAAAATGATTGCTGTGTCAGCTTCTAGTCATGTTTTGTGATTCCTCTCTCACAGGACTCCCCTCATGATGGCATGCACCAGAAAGAATCTGAAGGTGATAGGGAAGCTGCTGTCCCACGGCGCAGACCCCACCCTGAGAAACAAGGACGGCTGGAACTCCTTCCACATCGCTTGCAGGGAGGGTGACCCTCAGGTCGTGGAGCTGCTGCTTCGAGCTGCACCAGACGTTTGGAGAAGCGAGAGCAGAACGGGCAGAACACCACTGCACACTGCAGGTAGCGCATGCTTTTGTCTGCAAATTAATTAAATGGGCAGCACTACATAAAATTGTCTTGTTATAATGTTATTCCAAATGGAGCCCCACGTCTTCCCCGCTGAGCTCCTTTAGACTAGCCAGCAGCAATTAGCAAACACCTGTTGGAACTATAGTGAACATTTGCTGAGTTCACTATAGGAGCTACTTCTCAGTTTAACGCTGGTAAAAACATTGTTAAGGAGTTAATAGAGGAGAGATGTTTTAATGGCTTCCTGAAGGCAGAGTTTCAGAAAATCACCACAAAGAACAGGAGTTTTTAAACATATAGAGACCCAATTTTAAGACGCTAAATTACAAAGTAAAATTTCTTTGAAAATCATATGTGATATACATATGGCTTTTTTATCACTACTGAAATTAACATAGTTACTTGATTATGGTATAAACTGCCTGGAACACACATAATACTGCCCCCTTAAGACTGAATCCAGCATTATCATGGTATAGCAGTCTACTAACATCTTTTCTGCTCTTCCTCTAGCTATGCATGGCTGTGAGGAGGTGGTTAGCATCCTGCTGGAGAGGTATGGGGGAAATGTAACCATATGAAGCTTTAAATCACGTGAAGCATTGGAAGGTTCCACACTGTGCAAAGCCAGAATCTTCCTACAGTATTCATGACAATCACTGTAAGACAAGTCCACAAACGTGTCAGTAAATGGCCTGCAGGAGACCAGAACTGAGCCTTTTCTCCTCTCTGGTAGACAATTAGCACCACACATCACCCTGAAGGCTTCATTCCCACTGGGAAGCATCATAGTGGATGCACTATAATGTGGGAACGCATTTTAGATCAACTATGTATAATAGAATCAAAAGGTTCAAAATGTGTAACAACCTGGGACCCTATTGTAGCCAGACTATGAGCACACACACCCACCTGCTCTGACTGATGTTCAGCTCTGCTGCATCTCTTCCAGATGTGGCTACACCCCAGACAGCGCTGACAGCTGTGGAGTCACGCCTTTCATGGATGCTGTCAGGAACGGACACCTCCCTGTGGCCAGGCTGCTCATAGAGAAACACCAGGTGGAGAAAAGTGTTGAAGGGATTTATATATAAATATATATTTTAATTCTGCATTGGTTGAGTTTGCTGGTTTTTTTCTGTTCACCAGTCCACTGTTCACCAGTTCCTGATGTTTCAGCCAGCTGTGCACATCCCCATGTTTCAATATCATTAACTCCAATTAATGTATTTCAAATGTCCCAAAACGGTCCATATTATTGGGATTGTTAGTTTTACATTTATGTCTGAAAATATGTATCCACTTTAGTGATACAAATCACACTTCTTTTTGTGACTGGTGTCCTAGAGGAGGAGCGTATTACAAATCAGAATACTTTTCCACAACAGTTTCTGTGATTGTTTGGCAGGCATCTCCAGTGGCAGCTGATGTTCTCGGGGCTCAGCCGGTGCACCAGGTGGCTGTCACTGGCCAGGAGGAGGCGCTCCGTTTTCTGGCGCTGGACCTAGCTGTGGATATAAACCAGAGAGCCACTGACATCCAACTCACTGCGTTGCATTACGCTGCAAAGGTTAGAACAGCTGCTATCAGGTTGAGGTTCTTGCACATTAGGACAAGAGTAGGAACTTGCAGAACGAATGAATGTTTAAAAAACAGATGAGCTGGGAGCATGTGTAGTTAGCATGTTCACTTCTGCTTTAGCAGCGCTGCTGTGACTTGGGTTTGAGTCATTGTTTTGTTCACTGGCTGACCACAGCTGGTTTCCTACTTCCTCACTGAGCCGTTGTATTGCTACGTGTGACTGCAGATGGAAACTCCATTTAAAGACGAGTCTGTGATGAGAGACTTTCAAACCACCCAAACCTTTCCCTCTCAGTATATTTGACTTGTTTTCTTCCTGAAAGTTGACAGTGAACTTTAGGAAAAAACAAAGTTTAAATCTAGGTACATTGCAAACATTCTCACCACATAGTTCTATATCACTGATTCATTTTGTTTGACATCTTGTTGAAAAAAATTTTTTTGCACACTTTTAAATCAAGCCAGTCAGGCTTTTCCTGGAAAAAAGCAATTTCTACCAATAGTGAAGTGTCAGAACTAAACCCTGGAAAGAGAAAGAGATGTGCTGCAGAAACCAACAGCTAATACAGGAGTCTCACACACACACACACACACACACACACACACACACACACACACACACACACACACACACACACACACACACACACACAGGTGTTACGATTCAGATATTCTTTATTGGGCTGTTGTTGCAACTAAATACATCTAGTTTTAATTTATAGCATGCAGTGACACTAATGTTATTACATATGCATACCTGGTTTCTCGGTCCTGTTTTTCTCTCTTTCTGCAGATGTAGAAGCAGACTTCTAAGGCATATATTCTCTTTATTCTTCCTTTTCTCCTCAACTCTCAAGTCTTTTATATACATATAAAGTGGAGAATTGCAACGAAAGCCATGATCCTCCACTTGTTGGGACTCAGAAATCAAGCCTGAGAGCCACACTGCCAAACATGACATGTTGAAAATAAATTAAGTAATTTATGAAAAAAACTTTTTAAGATTACCCCACCCTACGCTTTAAAGCAGGTCAGAAAACTTTATTTGAATTTTATAAAACTTTAAGTAAGGTGCAGTAAGACATGCTGTTTGTTAGTGTCGTTACAAATCTAAAATTGTGAAATATCTTAGTTTTGATGTATGTCACACATTGATAAAATATTTTTTGAAATTACCAACAGATGAGAGCTGACTGGAGGTAGAAAGCTCAACTCCCATCTCTGATTAACTTTGTGTAGAAGTTCTATTGAGAACGCATCTACAATGCAGCAGCTGATGGTTTTTTTCTTGTGTAATTTTTAAATAAACTAAACACTAACTTCCTTTATTATATCCAAATCAACAGGAACTGTTGAGTTTTCTCAAATGCTGTTAGGTGATATGAAGCTAGAAGAAACTGTGTAGTTCTGGAAGATAAAACTATAAGAGGTTGCAGAAGAATTGAGGAGATAAAAGGTGAGGGCTGTCCTTCCACCAACAGCAACAAAAGCCTGACTTCTTGGGGAATGGACCTGTTAAAGTCCAGACCCAACAAAACATTTGTGAAAAAACTTTAAAACGGTCCTGTGACAGACAAGTACAGTTTAAGGTCTTGCATATTTGACATTAGAGGGTCATTGTTTTGTATCACAGACAAACTTTTAGACAGATTTCTATGAATATTATTATCTATTATCATCTATTATGCTGGTCAAAAATTTTGTGCATAAAAATCTGCTTTTGGACTTGTGAAATTAAAGTTGTTTGGTCAGCCATACCGTGCCTCTAGAAAATAAATAAATACACTAGGAAATATATCTACAGAAGGGAAGTTACTGACTCCTTCTAAAAACTATGACTTAAAGAAATGTTTAAAAATGTTTCAAAATCCTTTATAAAAAGTGGTAGCAGTGCAATCTGAGACTAATAAGGCTGGGTGCTTTTCAGGAGGGCCACACTGCTGTAATTAAAACACTAGTGGAACTCGGAGCAGATCTTCACGTTCGGGACAAAAAAGGACGCACCGGTAAGCAGTGTGTCAGACATCATGTGTTCTCATTTGCAGCTGGATATATAAATGTAATTTTGCGAAGAACAATAACTTTAATCTCCATGTGCTCCTCATCTGTCCTCCCTCTCTGAGCTCTCCACATGGCCTGCATTGGGCAGCATGCAGATGCAGTTCGGACGCTGCTGCTACTCGGATTGCAGGACTCTGAAGACGGATCCGGTGCAACAGCCCAGCAGCTGGCCAGGAAGCGGGACGTACTGCGATTGTTTGAGCGTGACACGCCAGAAACACATACAGGGTCGGCGTGAAAACAAACACACTTTTGTCATTGTCACTTTGAAGCTTTGATACTTCAGAGACTGAAGCTAATATGAGACAGTTTGCTGGAATTTGTGTAAATATGAGCAGATGCTGTAAGATCAGGTTGTGTCTCAGCATGCTCCCTTTTCTGACAGCATCCTGATGATATTATGACCTTCTATTTTGCTCATGACGTACCTTGGAAAGTGGAAATATGACATAAAAATATTTATTTAGAGATTTGCTATGAGTTCTTTTTCCCTGCCAAATGGTTGTGAAGACTTTTTTATAAAAATCTATTCAATAAATCTTTTTTTTTTTTTAAAAAGGTTTTCATTCACTGAGTGAAGATTTTCATACATATTTCACACTTTGAAATTCATTAACATTAAATTTGTTAATGAATTTCAGAATTTAAATTTATTAATGTTGTGCGGTAAAGTTGAATAAAAATATTCTTGGTTGCTTTTGCAAATGAAATCCTCCAAAGTGAAGCAAGCATTTTATATTCAACCCCATTTACTGGAGATATGCTAAGACTTGCTCAATAAATTGCCTGTAATTAGTAGAATACAGTCCACTTGTGTAGTTTAATGTCAGTATAAAGGCAGATGTCCTGTTTTCTGGCATGAACCCAGCAGACAGATCAGACAGAACGCTGTTAGATGTTTAAACCAGAGTTAGGTTCTAAAACAATTTACATTTTTTGTAAGGACGGTAACGTTTTAACAGGCATTATAAAAAGAACACACTCTTTCAATTCTTGACTTTTATTTGTTAGTAAATAGTAAAAAATAATCTAATCCCATCAAGGTTCTAAATGTTCTAATCTCAGATTTTCAAAACAAAAATAGATTATTTACTATTTTGATTTATTAAAGTTTAAGCCAATGTGGGGAATGATAAGAACTAAGTGCCCCTAATGATTGTACATCTTGTAGAACCATCAATGTTCTGTTGTTTGCCTATCATTTACATTTCACCCATTTTTCTATACCTTTTTTGCTTCGGATGATTGAGTTTTGTTTCTGCACAGCTCTTAAAATGACCCACCTCAGCATTTCAAAAAGGTAATATCCTGGACTTTGACTGGGCAAATGCAAAAGCTAACTGTAAGGTTCTATCGGCAATAAAAAAGCCCAAGTTAAAAACTGTCTTATTGGTTGTTTTGAGGAGTTTGTGCTGATGTGCAGTTTAATTTTCTCCAGTGATGTACATTATAACTGGACATATCTAGTTTGGTCAAAACTGGGACACCTCAAGACTCATGTCAATGCAACTTTGCAGATCTATATTGTGCTTCCATACTTACTCATTCCTCCTGGCAACCAATCCAAGCAACCCATACTTTTTCAAAATGTCTTGTCATTATATGGAACTATAAACATGCTAAGTGCTAAATACTAACATGCTGATTTAAAGAGTTGCGGCAAAAGCAAATGAAGTGGCGTAACAGTGCTTGCCAACAACTGATGTTGTGTTTTCCACGATTACTGTTAGATTTAAATCATTTTAAACATAATACAGATTCAATCATTTTCAATATATATGAAAATATAACCTGATATATTCCACCCGGGAATGATAATGTTGCTTTTGAAGGAACAGAGCAAAAGTGTTCATGCTCATTGCACCTGTGCTGGACCAAATGGCCACTATATTTCACTCCACAGGTAAACTTGCGGAGGCCAATCACACTCTCCGACTCTCCGCTAAAGATTGACAAGCTTGGAAGTCCCGCCCCCTGCGTCACGCGCCTGACGTTGAGCTGCAGCCTCTTTTCGTTTCCAGTCTTTACAGATCTCCATTTTCTTATTTCCCGATAGCTAGGAGCAGAAGACGAAAAGCGTTGCAAAATGAATGAAGAGTACGACGTTATCGTCCTGGGCACTGGGCTTACGGTGAGAAAGCGGAATATGACGTGGAACAGAGTGCAGACTTGATTTGCAACCTGTTACTACCGCAGTCGGTGGCTGACAGCTTGGCTTCGAGATAACTAGGCCCAATTAGCTAAGTAGCTAGCTTAGCCGCTAAGGGGAGCGGCGGCGTAATGTAAAGTAATGGAAACCCGAAACCAAGCAGCTAAGGCGAACACTTAGCATCATGCTATATGCTGTCAATGGAAAGATTAATCCAGTATCGCGAAACCTGCATTAGAATAGTAGTTGACCTTTCAGTAAGTTAGTAATTATTCAGAATGTATTTCCTGTGACGTTATTTTAAGCATTAAGTTCACCAAATATCTGAAGTAGAACGCTACTTTAGTTGAGCTTTCTTCTGCCAAGGCGAGATTAAAAGGCGGATAAGTCCGCTAGCATTGGCTAGGCCACTTTGAGCAAACTAATTTCCCTTGATTTCGCTTCCTTCGAGAATGTTTCTGCATCTTGTTTGAATACAGAATTATTGATTCTGCGCCACTTTTCACTCAGTCTGACTAGTTTTTGAATCTCCAGATGAAACACCAAGCAACCTTTCAAAGTCGATTTAGAGACTTGTCATAAACTTTTGCAGAAGTCCCTCATTTTTTACACTTTTAGTACTTTAAGTGAAATGCTTAAGTACTTTATTTAAATGAAGTGTCCAAATTGCACACCCTTCTGTGACACTTTGAAGAGGCGCACAGAGTTGCTGCCTCGGTTATTGTTGGGAAGTTTCCTGATCTTTTCCAGTATGTTGTGTTGTAACACTAAGAAACTTTTTCATGGCATTTCCAAAACCACATTCACCATTCCACCACTTTATGGAGAGCGTTAGATTCCTAAAGGCCCCCTGACTTTCAGGCAGTTTTAATGGCTGAAGCATACAATGGAAACCCTGTGATGACTTTATTGCAGGCCAATAAGCAGCTCTGTGCTATATATGAGTAGCGACATAACTTCGCATGCATTCTCCTCAACCTAGTGAACTGAACTGTAAAAGGAAATGCTGATATATATATAATATATATATAGGTTTCTTTTTAATCTACCTACGGTTTTTAAAAATACTCTTCCACATTAGTGTCACTGCAAAAACAAACCAAAAAAATAATTACTACTGATTTATTTTTATAGAACTTTTGTATGAGTGTTGGGTGTGAACTCAACAGGACTGGAACTGAAACATCACCGCACATTTTCTGAAAATCCGGTTCAATAAGAGCTTTTCTACCAATCAAAACACACGCAGACTAAAACCTTGTTTGTATGAAAGGAGGTGGGTGGAGCTTCATAGGTTTCAGTTCCTGATTCAAATCAGTGACTTCAACATCTACCACCTTCCTCTTTTTGGGTTAAACGGGCAATTTATGGATGGAAACGTGTCACAGGTGTTATCGATGTAGCTGGGTGTCTTAACATCTGTTTTGTTTCAGTGTTTAAATTACTGGGCAGAATAACATGCAACCCATTGTGTGTGACGTATAACGTCAGCTGAAGGGAGAGCTTTCCTGGATGATCCAAATATAAATGTTGGAATTATGAGATGACCTCTGATTTCTACATGTTAATGTTACCTGGAACTGGTTTTCACTGAGCTCAGAGTCCATCTAGAGGCAGGAAAGAAGAGGCATTTATAGACCAGCAATAGTAGGAAGTATTAGTTTTTATGCATTTAGTTATCATAAATAAATGGAAATGAGTAGTAATGACAAAGACTGGATGATAATAATAATCATTAACATCGACTGAAAATGTGGTCTAATTTTTTATTTTTTTGCAGATTAGACCAGTCAGAACCATATCTCCCAAACAGTTTATTAATTTATTGTTCTGTTATGTTTATCCAGCTAATTAAATCCTACCTTATCCACTCAGCTAGTTGAAGATGATCTTTAAATTTGGATGGAATAATCTAGAACAACCACTTTTGTTTTTATTGTTATTCAAGCTTTGACTTGGTGCTAAAGTAAAATAATATGGCTGCACAATATTAGTAGCCTGTGCACTAGTGGTATTATTGTAGGATATTGTGATTATCAGCTGCACCTAAGCTGTATTTTCTACTTTTCCTTGCCACCACTCTCCCTGGTCCTTTAATCTCAATCACTAAGGTCTTCAGGTACAGAAATAATGAGCAGTAAAGTCCATCCAGCTGGTTAAATATAGTACTTGCTATATGTTTATTATTTGATTGCTGTTTGTAAAGCAGTCATTCCAGGAGCAGTCTTTTTTTCCTTTGACCATGGTTGGCTGTAGTATCCCCAGTAGTGTACAAGAGGACGACCATGGAAATTAACTTTTGCAGTAGTGCTGATATGGTCTCCACTGTATGGATTAATGTGGATCATGGTAAATTGTTTGTACAATTAAAATATTTTGATTATAAGTGTTTTTTAGAGGATGTATCAAGGATTTGTGGCTTTTAGCTCTTCACATTCAGCTGTGGCTCTTAATCCCAGAATATACTGGGATCGACGAACAATACAGTGAGTAAAAAAGTGACAATAAAAATGATGGCCAGAAAATGCAAGCTTATAGTTGGATTTACATATGTTGAATTGCCATTCCTTATAGTGGCTACAGCATGTTTCTGTGGCAAAATGATGCTTTTAAACAGGATGCCTATGTATGAGATTCCAAAAAAATGGACTGAATCAGTCAACTTCACCAGTAAGAGTGGTATGAAACCGTTTCTCTGGGTCTGGGGCTCCCAGCCGTCTGATGATTCTGGAGAAGGAGAACTTTTAGGCCCATTCACTAAAAAGTATTGGCTGCCATTATAGGGCATGCTCACTTTTTATTAAATTAAAATTATTTGATTTCACACTGAAGACTATTGAGTTTTTGAATATGCTTAGGCCACCTGTTTGGGTTTTTGGGGCAGAAAAAATAAAATGGGAAGAAATAATTTTATTCCAATGAGTTTAGCAGTAATTTCATTGCTCAGTCCTAATAAATACTGTGTATATGGTCCATAATCCCCCCCCAACCCCCAAGTGTCCATGATTTAGAAAGCTTTTGTATTATTCAGGCCACATATTGGGCATGTTTGATTTTAATTTACATCAAATGAGTCGATGCTTCAAGGCTTAATGACTAAATAGATTAAGATGTGAACATGGACTTTGTGCTTCCTGTGAATTTTGTTAGCTTTAATGTTTGCACACTTTGTGTGTTTCTCCTGTGTCAGTGTGGTGTTTACTGTGATGAGCACTCTGTCTGTGTTTGCTTTTATGCATGGACCAGGCTGGCTTCAGCTCCAGATCACTGCAGAGGAAAGCCAGTTTTTCTTGATCTAAGCTATTTAAGAGCAGCAGACTAGTTTTAAGCAAATGTGTAAGCTGCCAGGAGACCTTCCCTGTGCAGCAACAGGTGCAGGAGGGGCACTCCTGCTTTAAACATTGTGCTG